TAAAGAGAGACCAGAGAGGGACTAAAGAGAGACCAGAGAGGGACTAAAGAGAGACCAGAGAGGGACTAAAGAGAGACCAGACAGCAATACATTGAGATTAATGATAATGGAGAAGTTAACCCTACAACGTTATGGGAATGTGGGAAAGCAGTATTAAGAGGGAAAATGATAGAGATAACATCTAGGATAAAAAAAAAATTGAGAGCATCAGCAACAAGAGTTGGAGAAGAAAATTAGAAAATTGGAAAATGAGCATAAAAAAACGCTAAATCACGGTACTTTATTAGAACTTAAAGAAATTAGATCCAAATTAGATCAGTTATTGACTTTTAAAGTAGAAGCGGCGTTAAGATTTGTTAATCAAAATTATTATGAAAAGAGTAATCGAGCAAGTAAGTTACTAGCATATCAACTCAGAAAGAAACAGTCGGACCAGGCAATAACGAAGATACGGCATCCTATTTCTAAGTAGATTAAGGTTGAACCTAAAGAGGTTGCAAAAATATTTGCAGAATATTATGAAGAGCTATATAATGACCAAGAAATACCATCCTTGGAAGAAAAGATGCAACAGTTTATGAACAAATTTAACCTACCAGCACTGACTCCAGAGCAAGCGCTGGAAATGACAGAACAAATTTCTCTCAAGGAAATATTTGATACAATTAAAAATGTGAAAAACAACAAAAGTCCAGGTATGGACGGATTTCCGGGAGAATTCTATAAATGTTTTCAGGAAGAAATAGCCCCACTACTAAAGAAAGTGTTTAACTATGCCTTGGAATCAGGGAACATTCCAACATCATGGTCAGAAGCTGTCATTTCTGTCTTGCATAAGGAAGGTAAAGACTCTACTTTGTGTGAAAGCTACCGCCCTGTTACCCTGCTATGTAATGATTTGAAGATTTTAACAAGTATAATGGCAAAAAGAATACAGAAATACATAGCAAGGTTGATTAAACCCGATCAGACAGGATTCATACCGGGACGACAGGGCGCTAATAATATTAGGCAAACTTTAAATCTTATGTCCAGTGCAAGAAGGAACCCAAATACAAACATGTTATTAAGCTTAGATGCACAAAAAGCATTTGATTGTGTGAAATGGAAATATCTATATCACACATTATCAGTTTTTGGGTTCCATTCAACATTCATTAATTGGGTTAAATTTGTTTATAAAGATACAAAATCCAGGATTAGAGTAAATGGATGCTGCTCCGACTTTTTCTTTCTGAAGAGAGGAGTAAAGCAAGGAGATTGTTTAAGCCCTTTATTATTTGCTTTAAGTATAGAACCGCTCGCTGAATATATTAGGCAAAGTCCAGATATAAAGGGCATCGTAGATGAAGGTAATGTGGAGTCAAAAATATCATTATTCGCAGATGATATCCTCATGTATATAAGTAACCCTGTTGAGACTGTACCCATCCTGAATAACATTTTAAGAGAGTTTGGGGAAATCTCCGGATACTTGAACAATGAATCTAAATCGGTTGCAATGATCATATCTGGAAAATGTCCAGAAGAACTAAAAAAAAAGACTACATTCAAATGGACGGATGAGGGCTTTAGATACCTTGGCATTACTATTACACAAAAGTTATCAAATATGTTTACAGCTAACTATGAGAAATTATTCAAGGAGATTAAAGAAGATTTAGTGAGATGGGAAATTTTGCCCTTGACAATAATGGGAAGAATAGAAGTAATACGGATGAATGTTCTGCCAAGGTTGCTGTTTTTGTTCCAATCCCTACCCATCCAGCTCCCAAAAACAATATTTAAAAGAATTGATCATATGATCTCAAAATTTATTTGGGGAAATAAAAAGCCACGAGTAAGATATACATTACTACAATGCTCCAAAGAAAAAGGAGGTTTGAATTTGCCTAATATTAAAACATATTATTGGGCAGCACATTTAAGAATCATAAATATCTGGATAAATAATGAGGAAGAGACGGGATGGAGGGAAATGGAACAAAATTCATGCCCAAAAGTAGAATTACAAAGCCTACCCTTCATTAGAAAGCACAATCTAAAACAGTTGAAAATAAAAAATGAATGGGTTAAAGGAACAATGGAAATATGGATGGGGATAAAAAAGAAAATGGAAATGTCTAGTTCAATCTGCAGGGCCACTAGATTAGGAACAAATTGTGATTTTATACCCTCAAGTATGGAGATGGGATTTCAAAAGTGGGAATCTAAGGGACTTGTCCATATTGGGCAGCTGTTTGAAGGGGAAAATATGAAATCATTTCAGCAGCTTAAAGACGAATTTAATCTATCAACACATGAATTTTACAAATTTCTACAAATAAGAGACTACCTTATAAAACATAAAGAATGGGAGTATATATGTAAACAAGAAAATGGAATAGAGAAATTACTGATGACTAAGTTAGAGAATAAAAAGATAATTTCAAAGTTCTATAAAGCCCTGCAGGCTGAACAAGACAATAATGTGGACACCAAGTATAAATGGGAAACTGAAAGAAATATCTTAATTTCAAATGAAAATTGGGAGGAATCATTCAAAGGAGGACATCAAATGTTTAGTAGTATGCTATGGAAAGAGTTTGAATGGAAAGTAAAAATGCGATATTTCCTGGTACCATTGCATATTTCAAAATACAGTAAAATGTCTGATAAGTGCTGGAGGGGTTGTGGCCAAGTAGGAGACTATACACACATATTCTGGGACTGCCCTAAACTCAAAGAATACTGTGAAAATGTAAAAAAACAGATAGAAAGAATCGTTAATGTAAACATTGATTTAGACGTACAATTGTTTTTGTTGGGTATTATCCCCCAAAATATTCCAATAAAAATAAGGAAGATTATTAGGATGTTAATTATAATAGCAAAAAAAATTATTACAGTCTGCTGGCTTGAACCACAACCACCTCGTGCAAAGCAATGGTGGGACAGAATGAAAGATGTGTTAAATATGGAAAAAGTAACTGCAAGGTTAAAGAACAAAATGAAAGAATTTGAGGACCTGTGGCGACCCTCAATGTTGGAGACAATGGAAATGTAATCACCCCACAAAAAGTTTATTTTCTTTTTTTTTTCTTTTGTGATTGTTTCTTATTATTTAACTACGTTTGTGTTTTATCTTATTTTTTATTCTTTGTCTTTGTTTTTATTTTTTTCTCTTGTTTTACTGGGTGTAGGTACACACGGGGGAAAGGAAAAAAATAAGAGTGATAAAAACGAGATGAAAAAGTGACAAATGTGGCCATAATATGACGACAATGTGACGATAAAGTGACAAAAATGTGTCGACAATGTAACAAAAAATTTGACAAAGATGTGACCATAATAGGACGACAAGGTGACGATAATGTGACAAAAATGTAACAAAAAATGTGACGATAAAGTGACAAAAATGTGACGACAATGTAACAAAAAATTTGACAAAGATGTGGCCATAATAGGACGACAAGGTGACGATAAAGTGACAAAAATGTGTCGACAATGTAACAAAAAAATTGACAAAGATGTGACCATAATAGGACGACAAGGTGACGATAATGTGACAAAAATGTAACAAAAAATGTGACGATAAAGTGACAAAAATGTGACGACAATGTAACAAAAAATTTGACAAAGATGTGACCATAATAGGACGACAAGGTGACGATAAAGTGACAAAAATGTGTCGACAATGTAACAAAAAATTTGACAAAGATGTGACCATAATAGGACAACAAGGTGACGATAATGTGACAAAAATGTAACAAAAAATGTGACGATAAAGTGACAAAAATGTGACGACAATGTAACAAAAAATTTGACAAAGATGTGACCATAATAGGACGACAAGGTGACGATAACGTGACAAAAATGTGACAAAAATGTGACGACAATGTGACAAAAATGTGATAAAGATAGGACCGTAATGTGACAAAAATGTGACTATAACGTGACAAAAATGTGACAAAATGTGGCCGAAATGTGATAAAAAAATACGACAATAAAAAGAAAATTACAAAAAATAAAGAGAGACCAGAGAGTGACCTGAGAGAGACCAGAGAGAGACCAGAAAGAGACCAGAAAGAGACCGGAGAGAGACCAGACCGAGACCAGAGAGAGACCAGAGAAACTAGAGAGAGACCAGAGAAAGACCAGAGAGGGACTAAAGCAGGCATGTCAAAGTCAAATACATCAGAGGGCCAAAAACACAAATTTGCTGCGAGCCGAGGGCCGGACTGGTTCAATGATATTAACTCATTGCCTGCCAGCCTATTACAGGTACTCCCATATTGCCAGCAGTTTCTAATGATTTTTATAGATTTTTCAAAACCCACAGAATATTGTGTACTATGACTATCTGAAATCCGAAACCAGATTCTGAAAGAATAGACTGTCTACTTTCATCAGCAAAAATTATTTTGTTTCTAGCTTGTAATTCCCAGTTGAGTAGAGGGAAGTTTTACTGAAATCACCAAAAAAGCTGAGAAAAAAAGGCACAAGTGCATCTAGCTGTTTTCAAACCATTCAGAGAGCGCTGCTGCCACCTGCTGGCTCGATTCAATATGCTCTCAAGCTTATCCCCAAACATATTAGATATAATAGACATCTGGGAACATGAAAATAGCGGGAAACGCAATTGACGTAATAGTGCGTCAATGGCAGGCATGCCAGGCATGCCATGTAAAATTCATTCGCGGGCCGGATTTGGCCCGCGGGCCTTGACTTTGACACATGTGGACTAAAGAGAGACCAGAGAGAGACCAGAGAGAGACTAAAGAGAGACCAGAGAGAGACCAGAGAGAGACTAAAGAGAGACCAGAGAGAGACCAGAGAGGGACTAAAGAGAGACCAGAGAGTGACCTGAGAAAGACCAGAGAAAGACCAAAGAGAGACCAGATAGAGACCAGGGACAGACCAGAGAGACTAGAGAGAGACCAGAAATAGACCAGATAAACTACGGTTTAGTCCCTGTGCTCCTCAGAGTCCTGGCAGGATCCCGACAGTGTTTTTCTGTCATGGTGTGGATTTTAGTGTTGTACTGTCTCTTTCTCCCCCGTCCCCTCCCTCCCCTCCCCTCCCTCTCCACTCTCCCCCTCTCTCCCCCCTCCCCTCCCTCTCCACTCTCCCCCTCTCTCCCCCCTCCCCTCCCTCTCCACTCTCCCCCTCTCTCCCCCCTCTCTAACCCTCCTTCCCCTCTCTCCCTCTCTGTAACTTTGGTCTGCAGTGGTGATGAATGCTTCTATTAATATTCAGTTCTGCTTTATGCCAGCTCTGCATACTCCGAATGCTTAATGTCTGTGGCTCATTCAGATGTGTGCGCACACGGAGCACACGGAGGAAACCCCACAGAGCACATGGAGGACACCACACGGAGCACACGGAGGACACCACACGGAGCACATGGAGGACACCACACGGAGCACACGGAGGACACCACACGGAGCACATGGAGGACACCACACGGAGCACATGGAGGAAACCCCACGGAGCACATGGAGGACACCACACGGAGGACACTGCATTGTCACCTCCGGCACCATGTGCGGTCTGTGAGTCCCTGTGCGTCAGCGTTCTGCAGAGACACATGTCCATCCATAAACCACATGGTCCCACTCGAGTCATCTCCATCTCTGCAGGACCAGGAAGTACCATCACATTAGTCTTGGTCTCAGGTCTCAGGCCTGCTGGGACTCTGAGGAGCACAGGGACTGGACTCCTGCTGGGACTCTGAGGAGCACAGGGACTGGCCTCCTGCTGGGACTCTGAGGAGCACAGGGACTGGCCTCCTGCTGGGACTCTGAGGAGCACAGGGACTGGCCTCCTGCTGGGACTCTGAGGAGCACAGGGACTGGCCTCCTGCTGGGACTCTGAGGAGCACAGGGACTGGCCTCCTGCTGGGACTCTGAGGAGCACAGGGACTGGCCTCCTGCTGGGACTCTGAGGAGCACAGGGACTGGCCTCCTGCTGGGACTCTGAGGAGCACAGGGACTGGCCTCCTTCTGAGACTCTGAGTCAGGACTAAACATGAGGAGGGGGCGATTCAGATTAATGCAGCAAAAATCTAGAACATCTTCCTGAAAACGTGAGGCAGACTTCTTCTTCTCTGACAATGTTCAAATCCAGGTAAAAAACAGTTCAGTTACCGATGATTATTACGGCTGTTTGTCTCGTGTCTTGTCCTGGTGAAAACGTGGCGACAGATCTGCCCTCCGCCATAACGTTAAACTATGGTGTCTTCGGACCGAGTTGATGTCACATGACCTGTTCGTCCCCGTTGAAAAGCCGCGCCCCGTTTCCACCATAAGGTCAGTCTTATCAGAGTCCGCTGCTGGGACCGGCCTGAACTTTAGTCTGCGTTCATATTTCACATGGCGCGGCTGTCTCCGGTTGTTTTGGTGTCACTGTGGGGATTGTGATGGATGTGTGTACTGTAAGTGTGTGTGTGTGTGTGTGTGTGTGTGTGTGTGTGTGTGTGTGTGTGTGTGTGTGTGTGTGTGTGTGTGTGTGTGTGTGTGTGTGTGTGTGTGTGTGTGTGTGTGTGTGTGTGTGTGTGTGTGTGTGTGTGTGAGTGAGTGTGTGTGTGCGTGTGAGTGTGTGTGTGTGTGGAGGCAGCTCTTCGGACCGAGTAGACCTTTGATGAAGCGTCGCCTGTCTGACCGAGGGGAATAATGTCAACCACTGCTTCACCAGCGTTGAGGATCCCGGCGTTTCAAATAGAAATGTTTCAAAGGGAAACATTCTCTCTCTCTGGTCTCTCTCTGGTCTCTCTCTGGTCTCTCTCTGGTCTCTCTCTGGTCTCTCTCTTGTCTCTCTCTGGTCTCTCTCTGGTCTCTCTCTGGTCTCTCTCTGGTCTCTCTCTGGTCTCTCTCTGGTCTCTCTCTGGTCTCTCTCTGGTCTCTCTCTGGTCTCGCTCTGGTCTCTCTCTGGTCTCTCTCTGGTCTCGCTCTGGTCTCTCTCTGGTCTCTCTCTGGTCTCTCTCTGGTCTCTCTCTGGTCTCGCTCTGGTCTCTCTCCGGTCTCTCTCAGTCTCTCTCTGGTCTCTCTCTGGTCTCTCTCTGATCTCTCTCTGGTCTCTCTCTGGTCTCGCTCTGGTCTCTCTCTGGTCTCGCTCTGGTCTCTCTCTGGTCTCTCTCTGGTCTCTCTCTGGTCTCTCTCTGGTCTCGCTCTGGTCTCTCTCCGGTCTCTCTCAGTCTCTCTCTGGTCTCTCTGGTCTCTCTCTGGTCTCTCTCTGGTCTCTCTCTGGTCTCTCTCTGGTCTCTCTCTGGTCTCGCTCTGGTCTCTCTCTGGTCTCGCTCTGGTCTCTCTCTGGTCTCTCTCTGGTCTCGCTCTGGTCTCTCTCTGGTCTCGCTCTGGTCTCTCTCTGGTCTCTCTCTGGTCTCTGTCTGGTCTCTCTCTGGTCTCTCTCTGGTCTCTCTCTGGTCTCGCTCTGGTCTCTCTCTGGTCTCTCTCTGGTCTCGCTCTGGTCTCTCTCCGGTCTCTCTCAGTCTCTCTCTGGTCTCTCTCTGGTCTCTCTCTGATCTCTCCCTGGTCTCTCTCTGGTCTCTCTCTGGTCTTGCTCTGGTCTCTCTCTGGTCTCTCTCTGGTCTCTCTCTGGTCTCTCTCTGGTCTCGCTCTGGTCTCTCTCTGGTCTCGCTCTGGTCTCTCTCTGGTCTCTCTCTGGTCTCTCTCTGGTCTCTCTCTGGTCTCGCTCTGGTCTCTCTCCGGTCTCTCTCAGTCTCTCTCTGGTCTCTCTCTGGTCTCTCTCTGGTCTCTCTCTGGTCTCTCTCTGGTCTCGCTCTGGTCTCTCTCTGGTCTCTCTCTGGTCTCTCTCTGGTCTCGCTCTGGTCTCGCTCTGGTCTCTCTCTGGTCTCTCTCTGGTCTCTCTCTGGTCTCTCTCTGGTCTCTCTCTGGTCTCGCTCTGGTCTCTCTCCGGTCTCTCTAAGTCTCTCTCTGGTCTCTCTCTGGTCTCTCTCTGATCTCTCTCTGGTCTCTCTCTGGTCTCCTAGGTCTCTCTCTGGTCTCTCTCTGGTCTCTCTTTGGTCTCTCTATGGTCTCTCTCTGGTCTCTCTCTGGTCTCTCTGGTCTCTCTGGTCTCTCTCTGGTCTCTCAGGTCTCTCTCAGGTCTCTCTCTGGTCTCTCTCTGGTCTCTCTGGTCTCTCTCTGGTCTCTCTCTGGTCTCTCTCTGGTCTCTCTCTAGTCTCTCTCTGGTCTCTCTCTGGTCTCTCTCTGGTCTCTCTCAGGTCTCTCTCTGGTCTCTCTCTGGTCTCTCTCTGGTCCCTCTCTGGTCTCTCAGGTCTCTCTCTGGTCTCTCTCTGGTCTCTCTCTGGTCTCTCTCTGGTCCCTCTCTGGTCTCTCTCTGGTCTGTCTCTGGTCTCTCTCTGGTACCTCTCTCTGGTCTCTCTCTGGTCTCTCTCTGGTCTCTCTCTGATCTCCCTCTGGTCTCCTTCTGGTCTCCTTCTGGTCTCTCTCTGGTCTCCCTTCGGTCTCTCTCTGGTCCCTTCCTCTGGTCTCTCTCTGGTCTCTCTCTGGTCTCTCTCTGGTCTCTCTCTGGTTTCTCTGTGGTCTCTCTCTGGTTTCTTTCTGGTCTCTTTCTGGTCCCTCTCTAGTCTCTCTCTGGTCTCGCTCTGGTCTCGCTCTGGTCTCTCTCTCTGGTCTCTCTCTGGTCTCTCTCTGGTCTCTCTCTGATCTCTCTCTGGTCACCTTCTGGTCTCCTTCTGGTCTCCTTCTGGTCTCTCTCTGGTCTCTCTCTGGTCTCTCTCTGATCTCTCTCTGGTCTCTCTCTGGTCTCTCTCTGGTCTCTCTCTGATCTCCCTCTGGTCTCCTTCTGGTCTCCTTCTGGTCTCTCTCTGGTCTCCCTCTGGTCTCTCTCTGGTCTGTCTCTGGTCTCTCTCTGGTACCTCTCTCTGGTCTCTCTCTGGTCTCTCTCTGGTCTCTCTCTGATCTCCCTCTGGTCTCCTTCTGGTCTCCTTCTGGTCTCTCTCTGGTCTCCCTTCGGTCTCTCTCTGGTCCCTTCCTCTGGTCCCTCTCTAGTCTCTCTCTGGTCTCTCTCAGTCTCTCTCTGGTCTCTCTCTGGTCTCGCTCTGGTCTCGCTCTGGTCTCTCTCTGGTCTCTCTCTGGTCTCTCTCTGGTCTCGCTCTGGTCTCTCTCTGGTCTCGCTCTGGTCTCTCTCTGGTCTCGCTCTGGTCTCTCTCTGGTCTCTTTCTGGTCTCTCTCTGGTCTCGCTCTGGTCTCTCTCTGGTCTCTCTCTCTTTCTCTAGTCTCTCTCTGGTCTCTCTCTGGTCTCTCTCTGGTCTCGCTCTGGTCTCTCTCTGGTCTCTCTCTGGTCTCGCTCTGGTCTCTCTCTGGTCTCTCTCTGGTCTCTCTCTGGTCTCTCTCCGGTCTCTCTCAGTCTCTCTCTGGTGTCTCTCTGGTCTCGCTCTGGTCTCTCTCTGGTCTCGCTCTGGTCTCTCTCTGGTCTCTGTCTGGTCTCTCTCTGGTCTCGCTCTGGTCTCTCTCCGGTCTCTCTCAGTCTCTCTCTGGTCTCTCTCTGGTCTCTCTCTGGTCTCTCTCTGGTCTCCTCTCTGGTCTCTCTCTGGTCTCGCTCTGGTCTCTCTCTGGTCTCTCTCTGGTCTCTCTCTGGTCTCTCTCTGGTCTCTCTCTGGTCTCTCTCTGGTCTCGCTCTGGTCTCTCTCTGGTCTCTCTCTGGTCTCTCTCTGGTCTCGCTCTGGTCTCTCTCTGGTCTCGCTCTGGTCTCTCTCTGGTCTCTCTCTGGTCTCTCTCTGGTCTCTCTCTGGTCTCGCTCTGGTCTCTCTCCGGTCTCTCTCAGTCTCTCTCTGGTCTCTCTGGTCTCTCTCTGGTCTCTCTCTGGTCTCTCTCTGGTCTCTCTCTGGTCTCTCTCTGGTCTCGCTCTGGTCTCTCTCTGGTCTCGCTCTGGTCTCTCTCTGGTCTCTCTCTGGTCTCTCTCTGGTCTCTCTCTGGTCTCTCTCTGGTCTCGCTCTGGTCTCTCTCTGGTCTCTCTCTGGTCTCGCTCTGGTCTCTCTCCGGTCTCTCTCAGTCTCTCTCTGGTCTCTCTCTGGTCTCTCTCTGATCTCTCCCTGGTCTCTCTCTGGTCTCTCTCTGGTCTCGCTCTGGTCTCTCTCTGGTCTCGCTCTGGTCTCTCTCTGGTGTCTCTCTGGTCTCGCTCTGGTCTCTCTCTGGTCTCTCTCTGGTCTCTCTCTGGTCTCTCTCTGGTCTCTCTCTGGTCTCTCTCTGGTCTCTCTCTGGTCTCGCTCTGGTCTCTCTCTGGTCTCTCTCTCTGGTCTCTCTCTGGTCTCTCTCTGGTCTCTCTCTGGTCTCTCTCTGGTCTCTCTCTGGTCTCGCTCTGGTCTCTCTCTGGTCTCTCTCTGGTCTCACTCTGGTCTCTCTCTGGTCTCGCTCTGGTCTCTCTCTGGTCTCTCTCTGGTCTCTCTCTGGTCTCTCTCTGGTCTCTCTCTGGTCTCGCTCTGGTCTCTCTCTCCGGTCTCTCTAAGTCTCTCTCTGGTCTCTCTCTGGTCTCTCTCTGATCTCTCTCTGGTCTCTCTCTGGTCTCCTAGGTCTCTCTCTGGTCTCTCTCTGGTC